GTSCAGAGGAGCGCCACAAAAATGGTCAGAGGGCTGGAGCACCTCCTTTATGAGGAAATGCTGAGAGACTTGGAGTTGTTYAGTCTGGAGAAAAGAAGGTTCTAGAGCAGCCAGAGTGGCCTTTTGGTACATAAGAAAGACAGAAAGTGATTTTTTTTACCAGAGTCTGCAGTGACAGGACAAGRGRCAATGATTTTAAATAGAAAGAGGGTAAATTTACATGGAATGTAAGGAAGACSTTTTTTTACAGTGAAGATAGTGAGGCACTGGAACAGSTTACCATGAGAASTTGTGGGGCCCCATCTYTGRAACTGTTCAAGGCCAAGCTGGATGGGGCTTTGTMYCTGCCCATRGAGGGAGGTTGGARTTGATCTTTGCAGATTCCCTCCAAMCCAAACCATTCTTTGATTATATGACTCTACCAGAATRTAAATGATTCACTGTTCGAGCCATTAAGCTTTAGTCAATAACCACGTGGTAGTTTTTTAATTGAGCATGATTTCTATCATCATTGCTTGTAAGGCAGCAGAATGATGAACTTGGCARGCAAACTAAACGGGGTGTGCTGACTTCTTTGACACCCGAGTCCAAATGAGAGTGGATTTACATTGTAGAGATTTCCCCCAACAGCAGAAGAAATCTGGACTCCTTACACTGTAAATAAACAACATTAWTAGTAATATTTTTAAAAGGAGAAATCATACAATTTTATACTTTATCACTGAGACAATTAAATTTTCCAAAGCTATGCTAGATATTAAGGATTTATATTGAATCCCTAATTTATAGCTTGAATCAATTAATATATGATTTAATATAGCATAACTAGATCGGACAGAGACATTAAAAAAATAGCCTGTGCCTCTAATTATCAGAGAATGGCTCTGTGAGTTAAGCATGCCTTGTAGCTTGCAATTTTCAAATATCAGGTGCAGTAAATGAACATTGATAAGGCTGCCTGCTGGCTAGGGCAGCAAGAGCTTTTCTCAGCTAGAAGCTGTTTCTCCACAGAGAAAATCCTTCCCTTCCCACTGCAAAATAGGAGACGAAATAAATAGGTCAAGCTCATGGTGCTAAAGCACTGGGAGTTGAGAACCACAAATAAAATTAATTCACAAACAGTTAAACAGAGACACATTTGAAATATTAATAATACTTATCCCTCCTATTTTTCCAGTTATTCCTGCTGGTTTTCCTGCTATAAGTACTTCACTGTGTTGTGAGCGAGTGCAAAAAGAAACACCAAGAACTGATTAGTAACCCTACAATAACAAAACAGCAGCCTTTAAGGGAAAAAAAGGAAAAATTATCTCATATACATTTCCAGGGGAGCATTAGGAAAAACTTTAATTTCTTTTCTAGAAAACCTTGAAAATCAGTAAAGCTGTTTCTTTTTAATTAGCTACTGTAATTTACCTCCCTGCTGAGTCAAGAAAAGGAGGACAAACCTATCTATGTGCTGGATCCTTTTCCCAAATCTCCTYACACCACAGCTGGCTAACTACAGCAAATGTGTACTTACAAAAAAAAGTTTTATATGTATAATCACAATAATTAGAACTCTTACACTGTGTTACCGGACATCATTAGAAAAGGGAGTGAAAAATTTTGMATATCTTTATCCAGACTCAGAGAAATTAACTGAATTAAGTGGCACAACATGAAGTTTCTATTCATAAAACTGTTCGTGATTTTACAGCCTTTCCAGCTTTGTGCTCCTTTGTTCAGAGGTGAAAAAGAGATTTAAGCAGGTAATTTGGGAAGAGGTAAAAAACCATTTGTGCACCCTGTTCTACAACATTTGATTTAGTCCTGACAATGGAAAGGGGTCAACAGACCCAGGCATYCACAGGTTGCACAGCCTCAAGTAACTCATTTCTCTTTTTGCTTGATATTTTGTAATGGTATATACCATGCCACCTGACATCATTCTTGGCCACAGAGAAGTAGRGGGAGTTGGGGTGGGGTACTTGTCCAAAGCAGCCATTGCCTGGGGATCCCATCTCCTGCTGGGAAGTGGTAAGGGATTACCTCTACATCCCTTTTTCTTTTTCATTCTTCACTTATTCAGCTTGACCCAGTTTTTTCCTCCACTTTTGCTCTTTGGATTTTTTTTCCTGTGCCACTGTGGGGAGGAAGTGATTTAGGGATAGTGACTTACCTGCTAGCCAGGGACAGCCACCACAGCCTTAAGCTGTTCTAGGCCATGGATGTGCATTCAGAAATCCTTGCTATAGGCTTGCTCTAGGCTTCTAATCTGCTGTATCTGGTACATCTTTATCTGTTTTACACATTTTCAGAGACAGACTACAAGGCTGTGAAAACTGACCTTGTCCAGCACAGATGTTTTATGTTCTTACATATTTAATCCAGTAACCACCTGTATGGTATTGCTTGATTTCCACCATTATTCCACAATTCTTTTTCAAATGCTGGTGTTTCTCAGTAGTGGGTGGAGTCAGGACTAGATCCTGACTTCAGGATCTCAAGATCAGCCTTTCTTTATATAGAAAAACATATGTCTTCCTTATGAATGCCTCATAAGCCTTTCAAAGCCAGATTCAGAGGAGTTTCAACAAATTTGTGGAGAGTCTTTTAACACAGTGCTAGGCATTTTGGAGAAATAAAATTGTTCCTCATTTTCAATAGAGTTTTGCCAACAAAACCTACCTCCTCTTACATGGCATCCAGCAAGAATATCCAGTCACTTTAGTATAACTCTGTTTTCCAATTAGTTTTATAGCCACCGTCATGAACATGCTCACCTSCTTTCCCTCATTCAGAAAATTCCTTCTCTATACATAAGGGGCAGCTTTAGAACTGTCAAACACTTGCTTACCTCTGTATACTYTTTCTGCAGCTTCTGATACTCACCATGGCTGGTATGGTGGTGTTCTCCTTCAGTGACAGGAATCAAGGTGCCAATCTGGATAAAAACTTTTGATTCCAGACCTCTTTTCATGTGTCTTGACTCCAGATTTCCAGCAGGCTTTGAAAGCAGTAAAYCAATCAGATTAGTTGATAAACTGGTCAGATTGTTCCACTCTCACGACCCAAAGTTGCATCTAAAGACATTTCCCACAGCTGCCCTGTCAATGAAAATTATCCCAGAAAACAGGGAGAGAAGGGATGACTGCTTCTCTTCCCAGTGTATGTGTAAGCATAAATAGATTCAGCACAGCCAGACCATGGTCAGGTTTGGTACTTTACTCTGTACAGAACCTTATGGACATTATGAGGTTTTCCCACCATCCCTCCCTGCCCAGCAATCCCTTGAACACCAAAGGTCTGACAGCACCACTCACAAAGAAACACCAGGATACTGGGAAGATTTGAGGCTGTCTCAAGAAGGACCAGCACCTGCCAGTCTGCACTGGTAAAGTTCTGTAGTGAGACTTCCACCAACTTGYAGCACCAGTTCAATAAAGTTATTGGATATAAGGATAATGCTTTTCTGAAGGCAGCCTTAATGGACATAATGGACACGCCCATGGTGGCAGAAACTGCCCTTAYCCTAACAGCAATATTTAGGCTGAGGTAGTCAGGCCTTGGTTAAAAAAGATGTGGATAAGAGAAAGGAATAACCCTGATGTTATTGCTGGGTGCCTGAGCAAGATGCTCTCCCTTGTGCTTTTACTGCCTTAGAAGGTTTAAAGCAGACACAGAGTTGATGGCTCTGGATTTAAGAGAACAAATTTAGTTGCAATGCTTGGATCTAGATTTTCACATATAAAAAGAGATTTACGATACGCTTCAYAGGATGGGCCTGAATTTCAGTACCCTCTTAGAAGAGGAAGTTAAAAATATAGTTGAATCTGTGATTGYTCCAAAGAAGAAACTAATAAATCCAGTACTTCGAGATGGAAACACCTCTAGAATGAAAACTCCATCAGCCTTCTGGAATTTACCACAGACAAACCACTTGAGGACACAGTTAGTGTTAAGTATCTGTATGAGACTTTTGGATAAGGACATCAACTGCTCCTATGACTGAAGAGGATCCTAAATATTTCAGAGGACGCACCCAGAAGAGGATGTGAGTAGCAGACACATTGCAGAAGGCATACTTGGAGAACTATCAAAGTAGGCTGGGAAGAGAGCAGGGAAAAGGGGACACAAGTCAGTGCCCTTGAAGGTTGTATGGTGACCCTTAACCTTCCTACTTTTGCCTCAAGAGAAAGAGGAATCAGAGGACAGAACACTGAATTGAATTTCCTGCTTCCTTGTCCTCTAGATTCTTGTCCTTACCTGGATTTAGCAAAACAGCTTGAAAGTAATTGAGGCTGCTCAGCTGAGGAGGATTCCTGGCTGGCAAACATCCTCTTGGACAAACTGCTGGTTGCTGCTTAGCTGTCAGTGTGASACCTGCTGCCTGCACAACAGGACTAAGGACACTCCACAGTCTGGGCATAGCTGCCACTCTTGTCTGTGGAAAATGATGCCAGAGCTTTTCTTTGGGTGAGGCCAACACAGTGACCCGGCCCAAGGTACCTGCTTCATCCCCTCCCGGCATGCAGGAGACGGGAGAGAGTGTAACATCTGAAAGGGGAAGAGAGGAAAAAGGTGCTTGGCTCTCAAGGGGCTTTTGAATTGCTGGTGACACAAAACCTGAGACAACCCCACATCCAGGGCAGAGAGGAGCTGCAGGCTTTCAGGGGCTTGGGGAGATGATGTTAGGAACAAATCATCTTCCAGGTGATGGGCAATGATTGGTAAGGATTTTCAACAATGTTCTCATAGCCAAGAACAGGGGCCTCTAAAAAGACATCCAATAGTTTTAAGAACAAATGTAGAGTGACAAAATGGTGTTCCCTCCAGCCAGCTTTACATTATATATGCCACTGACTTAATCCTACTGGATTTACTCAGTAATTTTGAGAAGCCATGTTTGAGGGCCTGCATGAATTGGACTGAAGGCCCTTTTCCCTGTTAAAGGACCATAACAGTTAAAGCTTTAAATGCCATTCCATTTAAAGGTTATAATGTTTCACAATAGTGTATTTAAACACAGAAATCTGTTTATTTACCCAAACAAAACAGAGGAAATGATTCCAGCCCTCAGGTTTTGAATCCTCATTTAAATATGTGAACGTCGGTCCACAACTTAGAGATGTTTGTGTATCTATGTACCTCCAAAATACTCATATTTCATAGGCTTTTTCACATTAATATTCACCAACAGTATCACAAAAGTTCTTTTTCTTTTACATAACTGTAAGCAACAATAATTCTAGAAACACTAGAGAAAAAAAAAGCATAGCAATGTCCACAGTTACAAGAAAAAGTGCACATTACTTGGTCACAATCACAGTCATTACTTGGAAAACTATATGTAACAAGTAGATATAAAATATCACTGATGCCTCAAACTCATTGTCAAAAACGGAATTACATAAAATTTTGTACATGAAATAAGGCAAATTTAGGAATGCACAAGAAACTTGTTATTCAACAAAAGCTAAACAACAGAACAGATAGTACAATAAGCATAAACTAAAGTACTTTTTTCTATATACTTAAAAAGAAGCCTGCCATAGTGCACAAAGAAAACACCATTAATGTGTAATCAATATTATAAAATAAGAAATAGAGGGGTTGGGAAGAGTGGGGAAGGGGAGAGAAGAGTTTTATTATAGTTGCAGCTGCATCCACTTACAGTTTTGTACAGGTTTTAGCTAGGCCTGGGAATTGTACAAATTATACCAGAAGTGTCAATGACCTTCCTTGGTAAGAATTTTGTTTAAATTAAGGAAAAAAAATAAATACACACAAGAGTGCAAATTTTCAGATTGTCACTTGCAACCTCTTAACATTCATCATCTACATCCAATCACAACTAGAGGGACTTGTATAAGACAGCAGCAGTGATCATGGAGTCAGATGAGCTCACCGTAAGAAATCAATTAATCTTTTTTTTTTTTTCTCAACGATATGTCTTTTTTAGAAAACGCTCAACTCTTTATTAATCGCTAATAAAGCTGCAATATATTACAGAATGGAGTTGAGAATGGYATGAATGCAGAAAATGCATACTTCCTTTGGAAGGTATTCCATAGATGACAATTTACAGTACACAGGGGAGGAATTATCCAGCATCAAGAGTTACTCATTGTAGAAAGAATATGAAGTTGGGGAGAAGGGCACAGCCAGAGGTTCAAGAGAGGAAGGGGGGACTTAAAATAGCTCCTCAAAACATTTTCAGGACCAGTGAAAAAGTTTACCAAAGTAAAAATGAAAAATCTTGAATGAAAACAAAAATCTTTTGTTTCGTTTTTTATAAAAATTACATTTTTTTAAAATACAAGATCCTTTTAATTGCAATTGTGCCCTGTAGCAACAGGACATTTGGCAATGTTTTGCCATATACTGCAGCTTTAAGTCCAATGAGTCAGTATCACATTCCACTAATATTGCACTTGGATCTTGAACCACTTGTTTTAAAAAACCATCACAGCATCTTCTGTTTCCTCCACTTGTTAGAATGAGTTAATTTCTAGCCACTTTTTTCGATATTTATGCTGACACACTAAAACAAAAGCAATAGGCTGGACACAGTAAAGTACCTCGGAAATACCAGAGGTCGAAGTTCACTTGAAGCACCTTAACACATCACTTTATGGATCAAGAACAGTGTGGCATTATGGTAATTAACTCTCCTAAAAGACTGTGCAGTAACTGAAGTGTGTGCTCTGGGAAATCAAAATGTCATTAGTGGAAATTCTGACATAAGACCAGGCCGGTGTGAAGGTCACATGACTCAGTTCTGCTGCAAAATAAGGTTTTCCAGTTCGTCTGCGGAGCGCAATAAAAACGCGGCCGATTCTCGGTACCCTGCCACGAGCTGCCTCACGGCGTTGATTTCGGTCGGGCTCAGCTGGGGTCTAGAGCTGGAACTACTGGAGGATCCAGAGCTGGTTGCTAACTGCCTCTTCATACTGAGATCTGTTGGACCTGCAGACAGCAAAGGGAAAGGAAAGAAACTTCAGATCTGCTGCCAGAGACATTTAACAGATTTGTGGATACAAATGCAGAGTCGTAAGATCTGCTCTCAGCTGAGAGCAAGTAGCAAAAATAAGAAATGACTGTTCTGTTACCAGCTGCCATTACAAGAACCACGGCAATTTATATTTATGTATCACAGATCCCACTTAGAGAACATGAGGACAGCAGAAAATTACCCTCCAAGGGCATATCCCAACAGYGTGAGCCACTTGCACCCCAAACCCTTCCCTGGGATCTGACAATGGTGATCAGGCAGAAGATTTATCTTCTGTGCTTCCCCCCAGCTCCAGCTGCCATCGTAGACTTCATGGCACTATCCACACTTGCAATTTTTATCACAGAAAATACGACTTATGTTCTCTAGATAACTATTTTCACATTTTATGCTTCAATCAGCATGTGGGCAGATTGTGAATCCCTTGCAGACGTAGATAAATGGTCATTCACATGGCTTGCCTGACGCTGTCTGATCACTTACATAAATAGCTGCTCATGAATGAGATTAGGCTGGTGACAATCTGGCTGCCACAGCGAGGAGCTCACTCTCATCTGTGAGGGCTGCATACAGCTGRCAATACATTGCAAGGATCTTGTAAGGCTGAAACGCTGTCGAGAGATTCTGCAGCAATCGCTGTGTTGCACTGGCAGCTCTTAGAAATATGTTTAACACTTTTCCTCAAAAAATATTCTCAAGACCATGGATACTTCATATGAAGATTGCATTCCTGAGGGCAGTCTGCAGGTTACTGTGATTGGCAAAACATCTGCCATCATGAACTTTGGCTTTGTGTGGAATTTCTCTGGCCATTTCATCAGTAATTAGCCAGCTAAGATGCATGGTGCTTTAATGAAATATTTGCATTTTCCACTTAACACATTTTTTTCTTCCTGGATGTAAATTTATACAGGTAGAACTGGACTAAGGACTTTTTTGAACGTACACTGAAGGATAAAATGGCAAGTATATCTTTAAACAGTATATTTTGTGCAAATCTGGGAAATACTGCTCTATCATTTCCACAGTGTAACAAATCTGTACTCCTGGCAGGCAGAAGATCAGCCTGGCCTGATCTTAATCTTAATGCTCTCCTGGAAAAAATGCTTGATTGGAATCAAGCTATCCAAAGCAACATATCTTGCTTTCCTGTGAGAAAAATGGCACAATTCAATTTGATCAGGACAATATATATCAATGCCATGTCTTTCCAGCAAAGACTGGGATAATTTTAAAATTTAGCATGTTCAGCTGTAGAACACAGAACACAGCAACTCATATGCTGGAAGTTCTCCTAAATAGTCCCACCAAAATCATAAGATTCAAAACCAGACTCGCAGTCTTAAGCACCAATGGACAGAGATGCCTGATTTCCAGCAGCTGAAGAGCTAGTCATATCTTTTTTTTCTTTTTTTTTTTTTTTTTTTAGAAAGAAAGAAATAATAAATCTTTCTTTTCTCACTTTTCTCACTTCTTTCCATCTATGCAGAGGTACAGCTGAGACCACAAAAAATGTGGAGAGTACCATGTCCCCACACTCACTGAAGTTAATGAAAAATCTCTCCTTGAGTGAATGAAAGCAAAGCTGGGACTATGAAAAGAAACTACTCAGACAGAAAGGGTCTATTAGATCTGACTCCCTACTACACAACTAGCATGAGCAGCACTTAGCCTTAAAACTTGTATTATCTGGTTTTACACTGGCATAAATGAACTGACTTTTAAATTACTTCCACTATATAAAGGATAAATAGAAGCACAATTAGCTCCATGAATTTCTTTCGGAAAGAAGGAAAATGGTCACAGTGTGAAGAAGCTCAGAGGATATTTTTAAGTAAAATCTTAACCCAGCACAGGGAAGAATGGTAAACCAATCTGAAAAAAGCTAGCTGGGCTGAATGGTTGTAAGAAGCCATTAAAGACTTCTATATTTATTGAGGCAGTAGTGAAAAAGATGCCACTGACATTTTGAGGGCATTGTRCTCCATATGAACCTACTTTAACTTTTATGCTCTTTCCTTGACTTTCATTCATGTCACTGCTACACACACACACACATACACACAGACACAATATCTGGCAGAAGAGACCTTCTGCAGCACAGAGCATAATTTTCTTAAATTTAACTGAAGGGCTTTTATCATTGGTAATCCAGATTTTCAGTGACAGAATAGGCTATCAGTTTATGTCTGTCGTAAGTATAATATACATGGAAATGTGCTTGCTCAGACCTCTCAGGTTTTCCACACACAAACTGATGGTGCAAGGCACCACTCTGGAAGGAAAACTAGGAGAAGACCACATGTCCATAATGCACAAATTAGTCTAAGCCCTCACAAGTCTATAGGGTCAGTTATTTACACAGTAGGAAGACCTGTATTCTTAGATGTCTGGGTTAATTTTCATGATGCAAGTTCTTTGCTCTTTAGARTATTTATCTTTGCATCCTGGAGGTACTGGAAATACCCGGATGGCAGTCTGTATACACAAAGGACAATCACAACCCAAAAATTSTCTTGGTTTGGGAGATTTCTGTTATGTCAGAGCTTGGTACCCTGCTACAAGCTGCTTTCTTTGTATACAAAGAAAAAAAGTTATCTCAGTTTTTTAGCTTACACAGCTTCTTCAAACTACTTGGTGGGTTTATTTTTTTATTTCTATTTATTAGGAAAATGGGATTTCATGTCACTCCCCAGCTCCTGCCTTGTATTTAACAACTCACAGTGTTGCTAACTCATCCCCCTGAAAGAACACCCTCATGAGGAACAAACACCAAAGGAACACACACACAGAAAAAAAAATTCACAGCTATGATTTTGGGACAGTGAGTACATTCGTGCCTTTTCAGGAAGGAAAGTTGGCAGAGAACTGAACAGAAAAGAACAAGCCACACTTCATGTGGAGATAAAGATTTTAGCTCTTTTAATTGTGCCATGTGACCCCTACATCTCACCTCTAAAGCTCACCTAGGACAGCCCAAGCTTTATATCTGGGAGAACACCTCATTCAGAGATTAGTCACAGAATGTGTTATACTGGTCTCAGCTTTTAATAGCTATGATAGACACTCACTGGCAGCAACAGAGATTCTCAAAGGTTGGCCAGGCTGCTGAATACTGAAATGCTATGACTTATTTGTAGCTTCATCACTCAGATCTGGTCATTCAGAACTAAGGAATAAAAGCAACATATAAGTGCATTCTTATTGTGTAAATTTTTCCTATGTATTTTCATTCAAATCTACTATCAAAATATGGAAATCTACACACCTACAATATCTCTAACCAGACAAATAAACCACAGCTACTCTGAAGGCTTAAAATAGCTGGTTAATGGCACTTCATGTACATCTACCTCCAGAAGCCATCACTACAGGTTACTGAATCTGGAAAATGATGAACAGCTTCACCATCATGTCTTTTAATAACTATCCTTACTCTTTCTTTAGTGTATCTAACATTATTTATTAGGCTGCCAGCCCTCACAGGAACAAGAAAGTGCATACTTGTAAAGAGTGAAATCTGAATGTTTTTGCAATGAATTTTACAGTGTCAGGTTCCTCCAAGATGCTACTGCACTTTTTAGCATACTGCTTCCTATTCTGGAGTACTTCAGGACCATTAAAAATTTAGATTGCAAACATTATTGGGTTCCACAATGTCTGTTGAGCAAACAAAGATTAAGCATATACCAAAGAGATTAAGAGAGAAGACTCATTTCCATTTCTTTCTCTCAGTGCATTTTCCCTTAACATGAAATTGCCATCTCCCATATTTTTATAACAGCACAACATTCTTCCAAGTAGTGAGTTAAAAAATTGCTGGGACAGATCCTTTCTTTTATACTGTTTGAGAAGAATAAAGTATTGTTCCTCTGCCTCTGTTTGAGGCCATCTGATTGACACTTTAACATGAGAATATTTTTTGATTTACYACCTCTGTCCAGTTACATTGACCTAATTTCCCCTGTGAGGTGCAATTGTTCTTGTTGGAACCACATCAAGCTGAATATGAAAACTCTAAAAACCCACTCTTCATGTGCTACACAAAAATTAATCAAATTAGCTGCTAGGAATGTCTGCCACTAAATACACTGTGGAACAAATGGTTTTCTGTAAATTACAAGACTCTAATGGAACTTGTTACTGCTTCATGCACTACTCATTACCAACGTGATTTATATCAAATTCCAAAATATGGGTCAGATGTAGATGTACTGATACTGATTTCTTAGACACTAACAACTGTCTCAGCAAAATTCCCTTAAGAATTGTATGTAGCCACTGGGTAGCCAATAATCTTGTGATTAACAACTACTGAAAGAATAGTAAATGTGTCAGTGACTTTCAAATTGTTTATCATTATTGTATATAATAATATAGAATAAAAAAATCTTTTAAAAAGCTTTATGTGCTTAAGCATCTATGTTTCTACATTTTCATTAATAGCTAAGCAACCTTTTTCATAAGTGAAAATGCAAAAAGCWGTCGAATTTACTTGTAGAAAACAGTATTTGCCCATCTCTTGTGTGTATCTTTTCTATTGCACCTATTATCCTCTCCCATTCTTTCCCCATGAGYGGCTTTAGAGGAGAGATTGGACTAGATTCTTATRTACTCCAATAAATGAAATGGAAAARCACCTGTCAAAGTATGCTATCTTTTCTTTCCAAATCAGATGTATTTATTGTAATAAGAATGTTTTATTGTGATATTATGCATCTGTCAATGCTTCTTTTCCTCCTGCCTTCAAACACAGAACAGATGTGCCTAAAAGTACTGCTTCAAGTACCAGGAGAAATAAAAAACCAGAAAACGGATGAATTGGACCTTTTAAGCTTCTTTTCTCCCTTCTAAACCTCTCCCTCTGGAAGACACACCTTCCTCTACTTTAGACAGCAGAAAAAAAAATGCTGTCTTGCCTGAGGAAAGAGATATGAAAACACAGAAATGCCTACAGCCATCATTCATTCTCAGCAATCAGGAAACACAGTGGTCTGTGATTAAATGGTTCTGTGAGACCCTTCCCATCCACCTCAGGAGATTAATTGTGTGTACCTGGGTTGCCTTAACAGTTGTCTCCTCAGCTTTGCACAGAGGAGGAAAGTAGAATGCTGCCCAATACATCCACAGACATTCCATTTCCATCCCTATGGCAGGAACAGACTAGAACTTGCTTGTGCCACATGTTTGATAATTTGAAAAGGATGAGGAAGGGGGAAGATGAATGTTGGAAGGTCTTTACACAAAATTCAGCCAGTTTTCCAGCAAGAAATTCCCACCTTTGCCAAAATATAGGTCAAGCCATTTAACCTCTCCCAACCCCATCTTTTGGTTTTTTCAAATGGGGTTAAACACACTATCCCAAGTTCCTTACTCTATCATTCTTTTATCTGTGTTTCTTCATGCTTTGGGCGCCATCTCTGTGTTAGAGGAAAACTGTGTTCTCTTCCCAGGAAGAGAAGTTCTCTCTCATCAGGAGAACATATTTTAAAGACAGTACAATAGTAGAGGTGTAAGGAAAGTCTAGAGAGAGCAATCACACCAAAAACCCCATTCCACCCCTACATCCCGGCTAGCCAATCAATATGTAACCCACCCACCAATTAAAAAACTACCTACATATTGGATATTCCCATCTGTTCTTTTTCCCCCTAGCTTATCACCAAGAAACCTCTGTCAATCATGCAAAAGCCAATATTTTACAGAAATTTACAACTTGACCAAATTTGTGGATGTGGAAAAGAGGCGCTTTTCCTACTGTCCCTGTGGAGTGGACAGGAGGGCTCAGCAATTCTCTCCCAGTCCCAGAGCAGCACAGCCATCCCTGGTCAGCAGCTCCTGCTCTGGGATATTCCCCCAGCGACTCCATTGTCTTCAGCAGAGCTGCACCATCTGAAGGAGCAGGAGGCAGAAGGAGCAGGAGGCAGAAGGAGCAGGAGGCAGAAGGAGTAGGAGGCAGAGGAGCAGGAGGGCTGCCTGGCACCTGGATAAAGCAGGGAACAGCCGGGAGGGCATCACCTCCAGAGTAGAGCAGCAGAGAGGAGCGAGCAGTGTGTTTAGCGTGCCCACAGGAGAGGAGGCTCAAAGAGAAGCCTGCCAGGGCTCAGGATTTGCCATGGTGTGAGCAATATCAGGATTTAGCTGAAGRACTCACCTGAGCTGGAAGGGGACTGGACGTTCGTGGTGCCTGGGATGCAGTGCTGAGTTGTGGCCGTGGTGGAGGTAGGCTGCAGATCTGTGRGGAGAAATGGAGACACAAGAGCTGCTTTGTCTTACTGTGACACGAGGGCATGTCCTGCATGGCCAGTCCAACRTCGAGTCTGAAACACCCTCTTTTTACACACACAAATGACTGACATTTCTGCCTACAAAACCAGACAATGATGCAGAAGAAACAGTCCCAAATCCAGGAAACCCAGCTATGGCAGCAGAAACACACCCCACACATCTTAGAGAAAATGGGCTTCAGGAAATGAAACAGTTGTGAAGACCATGACTCCAAAAAGCTCAGCATGACTTTCAGAGAGTGCTGACAGCTGATAGTCATTGGGAGAGGGTAGACAGCAACACACCAGACCAAAATCCAGGGGGAGACAAGGCAATCCCACTCTGTCAGGGGAGGCTCAGGCTACATGCAGATCCTGGTGGTATCAAGARATTTTGCTCCCAGCCTTATCTCCTGTCCTCACTCTTCTGCCCTCAAGCTGGACATTTTTCTAAGCTCAGCCCAGGAGTGATAGAGGGGGGCCAGCTGAAGCCTTTGTGGCTGGCTAAGAGCTGGCAAGCAAATTTTGTTTACATTCAGTGAGCTATTCCACCTCAGAGGTTCTCCATTCAGTTCTGTAACAGGAACTGCATTATCCTTAAGAAAAGGGAGCTGTGGCAATCCACCCTTCTCAAAGAGCAGCTCTCCTTTACCATCTACRAGAATCAAGGACAACATAACCAAAGGTTTCTCCCCAGCCCATGTACAGGCTGACAGAGACTCTCACCAAGATTGCTTGGTGAATGTTTCCAGCCAAGCTGGATTAGCCTAAAAAGTTTAGAAGGAGGGGAAAAAAGACACCTTGGTGCCTTTTCCTTCTGTGTTTTTTTTCCCAGCCCATGATAAAGGAGGGGTCATTGCACAAGCTGCTGCATTCTGTTTGCTTATATTGAGCAGTTTCATGAAGGCTAGCCCCATGCAGTTGTGTAAGGAGCTAATTATGCTCTGTAATTAGCCATGTGGAAGGACAGACCTCCCCATGTGGAGGAAAGCACTGCAACAGCAGGCACAGAGTCCCTGAGCCAGAGCCACAAAACAGTTGGGCGAACAGACAGCTAAGGCTGTAAGGTCAAAGTAGGGATGAACTTTATACAGAAGAAATAACCAAATTAAATGAGTCACAGAATACAAAATACATGCATCAGTTGGACTACTAGACAGAGAGTTAATTGGACATTAATTATTATATTACTATGGGGGAAGGCCCAGAAACAGGGAATCGAGCAGTGAGTTTTAGATAGCTACTGCAGCTATTGCAATTTCTTTCTGTTTTAGCAGTTGCACAAAACCAGACTGCATTTGTTTATACACACATTCTGACTGAGGTGTGCATTTATTTTTACACTATTTTTACAACATGTGTTAGCTTGACAAGAATGTCTCATAGGTTATAGTGAAGGAATTTAATTTTTAAAATAGTTCTCAGGTCCTGAAAACAATTTGCAAGTAAATATCCTGTTCTCCAGAGAAGTAACTCATTAACCACTTTAACAGCCTTGCATATGTTTGGAACAAGAGTCCTTGAAACAGCATAATGATGGCAACCAGCAGTCCTGTGAGGTCTGTCAGGAGGGCAATGGTTACCCCATGAACTGAAATTCAAACTGCTGCTCTTTTTTACCAAGGACATTGTAGTGAGAACTGACAGACCTCGAGGAATTGGCCTCCAAGTGCTCCCATTTCTCCTGTGGAGCCATTTCACCGGAGCCAGATCAATTTACCCTTAACGTCTTAGAGATAATTAGGTTGGTTGCTGATTGGTTTTTGCTGCTTTTCCACAACTTTCCTAATGATGTTCCTGAAATGGCAAGTGGGTCACAAATCATCAGCCCAACTAGACTGTCAGCATCTACAGCTGGCTTCCAGTCCTGGCACACAAAGACTTTTGGTTCATGGAGCTTATGCACTTTGGCTCCTCTAGGAYCCCTGTGGAGAAGACAGACACTTGCACAACCTCCCAACTGTGCACAGCCATATGGGTGAGGTGCAATGGCTTAAGTAAGAGGTTATACAGATAAAATTTTCCAGTGCAAGTAAGGAAATRCAAGAAGAAGAAATGTTTGAGCATATGTCTAAATGCAAAACTATCTCGAGCTTTAATTGTGAAAAAACACTGGCGCTCTCTATGTTAAAGGCACAAAGAAATTGTGGCTTCTAATCAAAAAGCAAGACTAATTTATGGTGTTTAATTTGTACATAATTTTTTAAAACTGCATGTTGAAGTGACATAGAATACTTTTGCATAAACCCCACAATTCCCTGAAAAATGTGAGTTATGAAAATGTATCCTATTACAAGAGATTTGAAGAGAAAAACAAGTACACAAACCAGTTGTGATTCCTCACAGTTTAAGATTATATGAACCAGACAATATTGATGGCTTTTGCTGACAAATAACACATGGGGAGTTTAATCCTACTCTTAGCTGGGTAAAAGRGCAAATGCCAACTGTTTTCAGTGGGAACTGGCTCAGATCCTCTCTGGACATAATTTAAAAGACAATTTTAAAGTTTTTGTGCATTTTCACAAAAACCCCAGATTTCCATGGCTTGTCTTAWGAAAATATTTGATCAGAGACCATATTCAGTAGCTCAGAAGCGCTCTTCATGAATATGGAAACAATTGTAATCATCATTCACTCTCTYTAAGTCAAACAACACTTTTGACAACTGAAGTATTATACTTTTAAAGCCTTTTGAAAACTTACTGCAAGATATACACAGACCCTTGAGAATTTTGCAGGCAGGGGTAGGGGATGAGGAAGGTGACTAAAGGCCCCCAGGACATCACATACCAATAACTCCCTGTAGGCTGCAGCCCTAGTAGCATTTTGAAAATTGCTGAGCATGCTGAATACAGARGCTGTAGCTGAGCAATATCATCTTGCCTAAGTCAGCCCCTCTGCCCAAACTGGCACTCTCATCAGCCAGAGAGGGATCAGCCAGGGCAAAACCCCAGGGACTTCTCCATCCTCTGAGACATTTCTTTAAATACAGTCCTGGGAGTCAATAAAACCTCAGGCTTCCAAAGTAATCACTTTTCTCTGACAGAGAGACAATACCCTTTTTTATCAGAAGGGTATTACTCTGCATTTGTACAAAATCAATATGAGGGATTATTTCAAACAAATACTACAATTTGCTTACATTTTTTGTTGTTACAAAAGCATGCCGATGTAAGAAGAAAGGAATGTTGTCTAAATAAATGACACCAGTCATTTGCAGAGGAACATAAAACCCCATGGTGACATATATTTACTTTATCATTTTTAGTTTAGAGTATAAATGAATATATTGATTTCTCATTTAACACTTGGTATGCCAGATCCTTATCTGCTGTAAATTAAAGTGGCTGGTRAGACCATGTAAGAAATCTACGTCAATTCGTTTGCGCCACACAATACAGAGCTGAGTGTTTTGAAACCTGAGCCAAAAATACACTAATGGCCTCATTTTGTGGTCAGYGTAGGAGAGGACAATAATGACAAAGTCCTCATAAAGTCATGCAAACTGACTGAAGATCTAGCCTGGGATTGTTTTACTCACCATTTTTAGAGGCTTGTGGTTCAGTCTTGCCCTACTGTGTATCAGTCCTTGAAACTGGAAGGAGCCTCATATGCAGTGAGTAAGCRTTTTGCTCAGCAGCTGCTGTTTGCAGGAGTGTGTTCCTGCTCATTATGTGATAATGGCCTATGGATATTGACCCCCCTGGACTAGCTCTCCGTGCAGCAGGGGGAAACGCATATCAGCACATCCATACACAGGCGCAATTTGTAAGGAAACTCACCACTGCTAGAAGCATCATTGAGATTTAGCAGCCCACCTCCGAGCCCTCTGTAACTATGGTAACTGTAGGTCCCGTTGCCGTTGATGTACAACACCTCCTGCGTGCTGGAAACAGCTGATGTTGAGTAAGTGACCTGGGCTGGCTCCTGTTTGAACTGCTTGTCAGCTGGAGCAGCCTCATCCTGCAAAAACAAAAGGTTTGGAATTATGGTTACATTTTCCCTTGCATGAGAATGTCTTTTCCATTGTTAAGATTCTCCATCTACTGCTTTCAGTAAAGTATAATGCATRTTAAACAAGCACAGATATGTTTCTGATTGACCAAATACCAGCATAAAAGGAACWATGAAAATAAGTGAGAATACAGGCTTCCTAAAAATCTGAGAATATTCATTTATTTGTGCTCCACAAGCCAACCATAATGCTTCTTAAAGGACAATATGTACCCTCTCACCCTGAAGAGCTCACCGTCTTCTTCAAAATCCAACTCAGTCCAGAAATAGTGGGAAAGGAAATAAGCCATTTGCTGAGTGCTGGAGTGGCTCTTCTAAGTCAGAGAATCACATATTTCTTGATAAACCAATACAGAATGCACCAACTACTTATTTTGATGTATCAGTCTCAGAAAAGACAGAAGGAATAGAGGAATGGAATAAAACRCCATTCCTATGTTTGGAGAAGTCTGAGTGAGCATCCTTCCACACAAAGGCYATAAAGTAAGGATGCCTTTACAAAAGTCACTTGAAAACTTTTGTTATCTGTGTAAGAGCAGCGCCTATTTGTACACCATGAGTTTTCCTCAATGCTCCCTGTTTGCCTCTTTGATGATCACATAATATTTAACAAAATTCAGCACAATTTTCAATTTTCCYTCAAAKGAGATAATGTTTCAGGTGAAAGTGYRTTTTTCCCCATCTACTGCTTAGAGTACCTCATCTCCATTCAAGTTCACAGAATGCTGCAGTAGCAACTTTATTAATGACACAGATTAAATAAACAAAAGCATTAAGAAAAGATTTAATGCGTTGTAGTAGATGGAAACAAGGAAAACTATCAGTGTGTGACTGCTCAACCTGACACAGGGACCTCAGTAACACAGAACCTGATTAAGTCTGTATGTATTTGAACATTTTGTTTCTTGACTTTTTTATGGGTTTGATTTTATACTCTCATCTGATGGAAATAAATTTCAGTGTTTTCAAATAARATTCATCTATTGAAGATGTGTTTCTAAAGACCTTTTCAGAGTAGTTAGCTGGAAAACAAGATATGCTAGAATTACTTCCCCTTTGTGTAAGATTTTTGTCTATTTTATGCATGTCTCCTCTGCACAACCCTTTTACAGTTGCTAAATACACCAAACATATTAAGAATGCTATAAAATGTCTGAAATMTTTTTACAATTTTTGCTTAGAGAGATCAAATAGTTCAAATAGTGTCCAGTCTCTGTGTTGAAGCAAAAAGGGTTGTGAATTCTGTATGCATTAGGAGCAGTTGTCAGTTCCACCTCTCAAAAAGACACTACCAACTTCTCTTATATGAAGACATCCCTATCTTGCAGATATTTGTTGGTGAAAGAGACTTCACCTGAAGCACAACTGAGATAACTTGGGAGAAGAGATATCTATTATTAACAGAAATATTAATATTTAATATGCTACACTGAACCATCAGACAATTAATTCCATAAACAATAAGAATGGGGCCTCTTGGGCAGTAATATGAGCTAAAGCAAAACTTTACATTTTTAAGAGAGCTGGCCAAAGTGGTCTCCTAAGCATTTTCTTAAGCAATAATAATCTTAAACAAACAGCCAGAATTGCAATGTATTTTTGCCAGGAATTCAACTTTAATATAATTTACCTTTTATCTCCAAAGGTCACTGATATCTCTTACGAGAGAAAAGACATTATTTTCTCAGAGAATATTAATAAACTATACAGTAAAGTTCCATCTTGGCAACATAGCTTAACTCATCGTCCAAAATTTTAACACTCTCAAGACTCAGATGTTCTGCCTCCTTATGTCTAAAACTAGATGATACTTCCTGCYATAGACTCACTCAGAGTGAGTCTGAAACAAAATAGTTTTGCAGCGCTCAATAACAGACTTTCTGCAAATTTGTCAAGGACTAAACTGTGTTCAAGGGGCACAGTGCAAGCAGGACTAACTCCTGTAGCTGAGCAGAGTATCTCAGATTGGTCTCCTTATCCTCACTGTCTGGAATGCACAGATCTGCTGTCTCTGAATTTACACATCCTCCAGAGCCCCTCTGGTCAGGGCACTGAAGCCCTGAYGGGGAGTCTCCTGCAGAACAGATGCACTGAGCTTCTGGCAAAGCCCAGCAGGCAGAGCCAGGCTGGAGGRCACAGCGAGGGCGCTCRGTGCMCCTTGGAGCACGCCAGCCCACGTGTTCCGGAGCACTCGCCCAACAAGTGGGAGACYGGARTTCTGGCTACTCATCGCAGTACACRGTGAAGAGGCGGAAAAATTGGGATGCAAGKTCTCTGCTGGCTGTGGTGAGGAGGGGACCTGAACTCGGAGCTGCCATCTCCTAGCAACCAGGCTCCAAGCAAAACCGTGGTGGGAGTCGTCGCTGAYGCTGTGCCACTGCGCGGGAAGAAATGCACAATTCCCAGGCTCCAGAGACAGMGCACGAAAAGGGAGCGTGACTCAGTTCCCTTTCAGAAGCACTGCCTGGGGAGCCCTGCCAGCTGCTCCCCAACACAACATCCTAAAGCAGCTTTGAGGTCAGGAATACAAGGCTGGAGCTGTGCCACTCAAGGGGGAGCTTTGTGCAGAACTAATCATGGCCCTACACACCATCAGGTGCCATGGGATGGCTTTCAGTTGGAGTCTGGGCACACCCGTAGGGAAGGCATTCTCAGGATGGAGAAAGAGTTGAGGATGATGCTGAGACCAGGACTCCTGGTTCTGCATATGAACTCTAATCTCTTGGCCACCATGCAAAAGGAGGCTTCCTCTAAATTTTACGTATCTTTTTAAAAAGCGCACTGATCACCTGTCCTTAAATAATGAATAAGTTGCCATACATTTCAGACATTAAGTCTGATCCTTAATTAAGTGTTTCCCTCAGTACTTCAGGATAATTGCATATAGAAACAGGGCAGGATKTTTCTTAAGCTTTTTCTGAGCAGGCTCAAGTGTCAGCCCTACTGGTAGGATTATGAACCTGATCCCAGGGGGTTAGGAGCTGCCTCTCATGCACTCTCCTGGGATTTAAGGGGTTTTTTTTTTTAAATGTTTTGTACTTCAAAAGGTGAAGTTGTGTCATTTTCCTTGCAGCCATACCAGTCTCTGTCTTGGGAAGGGACAATATTAATATCATATTTACTTTTACATACCTGAGATTTATTCTTCATAGATTCATAGATTCATTCTCTTCACTCTATTTCACTTGAACTGCCTTTGCTTTTAAAGTAATATAGAAATTAAACATGTTGTTGTTCCACYGACAACTGAAATTTTTGAAATATTCTGTGCTAGTTATTCATCACTTCCTGTTTCTCTCTATGTAGTTTACACTGAAAAGGCTTATTTATTTATAAATTTACTTAAATACACTTTAATTTCAAGACAACCCTTATTAACTAATCATTTAGTGATATTTTTGACCTAACTACCTGAAACATACAATGTTGTCATCATAAAAATAACTTTTGAAGTATTAACTAACCATTTTTAAACTATTTATAAATTACCTTTAATAAGGAATATGACCAAAAGGCAGAGAGAACATTTGTTCATCTAGAATTTGACTCATGCTATCTTAATTTAGTATATGCCAAAGGAAACAAATCATCCTTCAAACAGTATTTCTCTTCTGAATTTATTTTGGAGGAGAAGCAATTTAAGTCTTGAGCACATTACCTAGAAAATGATTGAAATTGCAAAATGGAAAAATACTTTTTAGGTACAAAAGCATGCTAAAATAAAAATTTATCTGTCAGCTTGAAAAGAGGAAMCATGAGGTACTTATTGTGATCCTCAATTTGATATATATCAGAGATATTTATGTCTCAGTTTTATGTCAAGGTCTGTACTAGGAGAACACATTTTTTCCATAAAAGAGCAGAYAGAAACAATTTACCTGATTTTATGTTTAATCAGGAAAGCAATTTAGYAACCCTCTAAGGACAGTACATACTAAGAAAAGTTTCCATGATCTGTTGCATAAGCTGGTACATTGAGAAACCCTTCCCTGCTCTGACTGATGCTCTGAGCAGCAAATGAATAGTTTGGAGGAAACACCATCCACAGCAGATTGTCAGGATTCTGGTAGAAAGAGCCAGGCTCCCTGGCAGTTCCCAGTCTCTTGTCCCCCTGCCAGCAGAGGCACAGCACAAACATCTCTTTTCAAACAGTCTTCATGGAAGCACCTTTRGCAGTGTCACTGATCCCTTCTGTTCCCCATCTCCTTCACCACCACCAAAATAATACAAAAAAGCAATARAAATGTTGAAACAGAAAGTCCTGGCAAATCTATGCTACACTGAGTTTTGATCCCTTATATACACAAGATTCAGAAATTCAGTGTACTCCAATTAAGAGATAGCAGTGYCTTGGCTTCCCTGTTAGCAACAGGCAGTGCTAAAGTGTAAATGCAAATCCCTGCAGGGAGTGTGTGTGCAGATCAACTCACATGGCCAGTGCTAGCTCACCACAGGGCTCACAAAACTTCTGCAAAAAGAATATAAACGGCAATGCTCCAAAAATGGCAAAGATGGTGACACACATGGAGCTACTGCTTTCATGAAATGCAACCAGACTGACAAATCAGCAACTCTGAGAATGACAGCTTTCAAATGCCCCCATGTCAACGTGATTTTCCCCATTAATTAGGAAAGAGACAGGAAGGCAAACACATTTTTTGCCTCGTATTTCTTGATACTTCCTTTTTTAATACATTAAACTCAAAAATGTGGATTGCTTGTTTTTCTTGTYGATAAAAATTTCTTTTAGAATACCACTTTGAGGTTAGGAAAATTCAAATGCAGATAAGTCTTCAAACAAAGAGGCAAGGCAGGGACCCAATATTTGCCTATGGTCTTCCACTTTTTCAGCAYAGGAAAAAAATACATTCACATGAAAAAAACAAAGCGGCCTTTAAGGTTTTTTTTTAGGCCTCAATAGCTTGTAATAAGGCTTTCAAAGAAAGGAG